TTATAAAGCGTTCAACATCGTCAGTCATAGGAAATGCAAATTAATCCAAAACGCGAGGTCTCTTTCCACCCACTAGAATAACTACAACCAAGAAGACGCGTAAACCCAAGTGCTGGAGAGGACGTGGAGACCAGAGCCTCATACACTGCCAGTGGGAAATGTTAATATGGTACAGCCACTTTTTGGAAGATAGTATGACAGTTTCTCAAAATGTTAAATAAAATCGCCTTCTCTAGCAGAACTGCAAGGGGCTCAGGACAAAAATATAATAAAATAAAATAAAGTCAAATTCCTTAAAGTCAGCAACTTTACTTCTAGGTATCTAACCCGAAAAATGAAATGTATGTTCCCGCAAAGACTTGTGGGTGAATGTTCACAACACCACTCACAAGAACCAAAAGTGGAGACAAGCCAAATGCCCATCAACTGACGAAGGGAATTCAAATGTGGGGAGTACAAAGGAATACTATTCAGCAATCAAAATGAGTTCTGAGGCATGCTACCACAGTGATCAACCTCAGCAACGCAAGGCTTCGGGAAGAAGCCAGATTGCAAAGAACACACGTCGCATGATTTCGTTTATATGAAAGGTCCAGAACAGCCTAATACAGGGATGGAACGCGCTTACTGGTTGACTAGGGCTGGGAATGAGACCGAAAAGTGACTCTGATAAGCACGAGTTTCTTTCTGGGATGATGAATGTCCTTAAGCTAGATTTTGGTGATTGTTACATAATTGTGTAAATATACTAAATATACTAAAATCATTGAATTGGACTAACTGCAGTGGCTCACACCTGTAATTCCCAACACTTTGGGAGGCCACAGCAAGAAGATTACTTGGACCCAGGAGCTCAAGAACAGCCTGGGAACACTCTGTCGAATAATTTCAATGCTTTAACAGGTGTAGTGTACAAGCCTGTAGTCTCAGGTACTCAGGAAGCTGAGCAGGAGCATCACCTGATCCCAAGAGGTTGAGGGCTGCCCGTGAACCATGATGGCACCACTGCATTCAGCCTTGGTATCAGAGTGATAACCCTGTCTCTCTTTCTCTCTCTCTCTCTCTCTCACACACGCACAATCATTGTACACTTAAAATGGGTAGATTTTAGTTTATAAATTACACCTCTATAAAGCTGTTAATTTTTAAATTATTTTTAATTTAATTTTTTTTTTTTGAGACAGTTTTGCTGTTTTACCTAGGCTGGAGTGCAATGACGCAATCTCAGCTCACCACAACCTCCACCTCTCAGGTTCAAGTGATTTTCCTGCCTCAGCCTCCCAAGTAGCTGGGATTCCAGGCTCCCGCTATGATGCCTGGCTAATTTTTTGTATTTTTAGTACAGATGGGGTTTCATTATGTTGTTTAGGCTGGTCTGAAAGTCGTGACCTCAGGTGATCCACCCATCTCGGCCTCCCAAAGTGCTAGGATTACAGACACGAGCCAGGCAGTTTTTTAAGTTCTAAAATTATACTATTTACCCCTAGCACCAAGATTGTAGTCTCAAAATACCATTGCCCAATGAAAGAAAACAAGGCTTCCTGGACAAAATGCTGATTCCAGGTCTAGGCCAGAAATGTGTAAGGAGCCTGGAACATATTATCACTCTGGATAGCAAAGAATCTATAAAGATTATTAGGATGATTTCAACATGTGTAAAGGGCCCATCTGAAGGGCCTCCTTCTAACCAAAGATAGGACATTTTGTACATTAGTAAGGAATAGTTGCAGTGAATGGAGATATATCAAATACGTTTGAATATCTGCATTCATAATGATCCTTTTGAAAAAATAAAAGTGGGCTGGCACAGCTCCTCATGCCTGTAATTTCAACACTCTAGAAGGCTGAGTTACAAGGATCATTCATCCAGGAGTTCAAGACCAGCCTGTGCAACACAGGGGGACTTTGTCTCAACAAAAGATTTTTTTAAATTACTCAGGTTTGAGGGCCTGTGCCTTTGGTCTCAGCTACTCAGGAAGCTGAGATGGGAGTCACCTGAGCTGAGAAGTTGAGGCTATAGTGGCATGACTGCTTGTCTGCTACCAACCTGGGCAACAAAGCTAGACCCCTCCTAAGTAAATTAATTAATTAGAAGTGGTGACCATTGAAGGATATAAATGAAATAGCCCATGATTTTGAAAAATGGTCAACAGAAGAAATGAAGCATGAACTGGTGTTTTCTATATAAGTTGTACAAGTGAGTAACAGTTCATAAGAAGCAGCATCTCTTTTTTATATTTACTTCATTTTTTTCTTAATGCAAGGCTCTGCTTGGGGTAGCAGTGTCTCTTCTTCATGCACAGGCCTTTCTTAGGGTAGCAGTATCTCTTCAAAGTGTGGCAGCTCATAAACGAAGAAGGAATGATACAACAATGCCTTCATTGTTCAATCCGTAACTGATCAATGGCCATTAACACCACCAATTAAAAAAAAAAAAAGATCTCCAGAGAGTACACACCTCCTTCCAGAAGAAACTAGCACAGCCTTTTTGCCCTGAATCAAGTCCAGCCTGAATCTCACCAAGTCTTGAGATTAAACTACTAATTTATCAAAACTAGAACAAAGTGAAGAGCAAGTTAACCAACATCACAAGATACAATTAGCAAAATCACAGTATGAGAAACAGCATAATGAGAATACACTTAGCATAATTCAAAGTGTGGGGAAATGGCCTGATTTATTCAATAAATGGACTGCAAGGGACAGCACAGAGATGAAAGTGGGGAGCTGTCAGGATCAAAAAAACCCTAAGAGGTGAATCACACAATCCCAAAGAGAGACTTTATTGGATCCTGATTCAAACAATAAATACATGAAATGACTGAAAATTTGGAGCTAGAAGGAGAGTTGACAGTGATAAAGAGCAATGGTATGAGATGGTTGGTTGATGATGGTATTGGGATTATATTTTTTAATGAGATCTTGTCTCCGGGCATGGCGGTTCACACCTATAATCTCAGTAGTGTGGGAGGTCAAGGCGGGAAGATCCTTTGAATCCAGGAATTGTAGACCAGCCCAGGCAACATAGCAAGACCCTGTCTCTACTAAAATACAATAAAAAGATGAGCTGGGCATGGTGTGAGTCTGTAGTTGCAGCTACTCAGGAAGTTGAGGCAGGAGAGGCCACAGTGAACCAAGCTCATGCCACTGAACTCCAGCCTGAGTGACAGAGACCTCGTGTTGAAAGAACAAACAAGAATCGTATCTTTTGGGGTCCAAAGTGGGCTCCCGCCGGAGGTCATGGCACTCTCGAAGGGGAGGTCATCAGTTCAAGGTTTAACCTGAGCAACCCATAAGCTCAAACTGATTGGCAAAAAAAAAAAAAAAAAAAAAGAATCGTATCTTTACAGACATCCACCAAGACGGTCAGGGAGGAAAATTCTATATGTATGGATTTTTTATAAAATCACGAGAGGAAGAGGAGAAGCATGTAGGAGTATACATGTAACGCGATCGACCGTCAGATAAATACCTGAATCTGCTGCTGAGTAGGTGGAAGCTCACTACACTAGCCTCTTGTTCCAAAAAGCTCTAGAATAGAAAGTTTGTCTAAAATCCACTTCAGGATTTGTAACAAGCATTGAATAAGATCGTGTATACAGAGTGTTTTCTCACCACGGCTTGCAGGTAGTCAGCACATAAACATGGTTTTTAGTTTTTTAAAAATCCACTTCAGGGATTTGTAACAAGCATTGAATAAGATCATGTATACAGAGTGTTTTCTCACCACGCCTTGCAGGTAGTCAGCACATAAACATGGTTTTTAGTTTTGTATAGTCCCCGTCCATGAATCACACCCAGAAAAGGTATGTTGTTCACACCAAGAGCTCTGGCCCGCGGACCTTTGTCCACTTGGTGGTAATTCATTGGACTCTCAGGTTTAGAATGAGGAAATACCAGCCTTCAAAGCCCCAGGCCTGCTATGAAATAGCAAAGCCAATGGTCCCAGATGCCTTCATAGCACACCTAGTAAGTAGGACACTTTTCACTCACCTTGTGGGCACGCTTGAGTCCATGCACTCATTTTTCATTCATTTCTTATATGCCGTGTATTGGGTACTCGGGATCCATAATACAGTGGACCCACAATTGACTGGAAGCATCGCTTTCAAAGCATCATTTCAGGATGAGTATTTCGTGTCAAGTGGATTCAAGGAACAGTGCGAAGGATCCATGGCCTCAGTCACCATGAAGAGCCTCCCAAGAGCCAACCTTCCTGGGCACATGTGAGTGGAGACATGGAACTCACCCTTACAAGGCCTAGAACCTGACAGATCATACAAGACAGAAGCCCAGATAACTAAGAAGGGGACGCTGAAGGTGAGAGGTGGGCCCCAAAGGATTGTGTGAAAATGCTTTGTGTTTGTGGATTTCTCACGCAGAATGAAACCTTTGTTTTTATTCACAGGTTAGACACACTCTCCATATAGAATCTATGAAGGGACATTGCTGAATTTTTTGAGGCCTATAGTGAAAAATGGATTATCTCAGGCAGCTCAGGATGAATAATGCAGTCACCAAGAGGGGCAGGGTGGCCACAGGTGGCCAGCAGCAGGAATGGGCATTGTGAGCCATTGGATGGGGTTGTGAGAAGTGGCATTGTGAGTCACTGGCCTGACTTTGTTGTTTCCTGGCAATCAGGTGACATAGGAGGCTTTGTGGGGGACAGGCATCAGCCAGGACCAGCAGCCTTCAGTCGGAAGCTGGTAGTGGGAGGAGGAGGAGCTCCGACTGCTCTCACGGAAGTGTTTGTTCCCTTGGCGCTTGCTCTGTTGCTTTGTTTTTTCCTTTGTTTTATTTTATTTTGTCTGTTGCTTTTTTTTTTTTTTGCGTGTTGCTTTGTTTTGTTTTCTTCGTTTTTTTTTGTTTGTTTGTTTTTTTATTTTATTTTATTTTGTGTTACTTTGTTGTTACAGTCCCCTTGTGGATCACCCATGGGGAATTGTCTATGCCCCAGCGCTGGCCCCAGTTGTGCCTGCTGTGAGCCTCGTGGCCAGTCTGTGGCATCTACCACTCCAGAGCCTGCCGTGTTACATCCTGGAGTGGTGGAGGTGCAGGACGCGCGGCCCGGAAAATCAAAGAGGCGCAAAGGTAAAGAAGCCATGGGTGCCATTTGCTCTCTGGCACATCTCTGGCCACCACCTCCCCACCTCCTTCCCATCCCATCACCCCAGAGACATCCTCAGCTTCCAGCTCCCTCCTGCCTATAGCCAGCTTTCCCGGGGCTGGGCATGGGGGACAAAGGCTAGTCCTGCCTCTTGTCTTCATTGTTGAGCCTTCTTGCTTGAGGCCTTTTTGGTCTAGTCTCTCCCTTTCCCTGGTGAAAATTCAGATACTCCAGTTTTGGAGTCTCCATCCCATTCTCTAGCCTTGGCTGTCCAGCTACTATGGCATCTCAGTGAAGGAGCCAGTTAAAGGCCCAATGATTTCTTTTCTCCTATTCGATAGAGAAGCTAATAATTGGGATAATTGAGACTCAAATATTTGGAGACTTGTTAAATTTGAAATAGAGTTTGCCATGGAAGAGATTATATGGTGTTCTTAATAGATGGTTTGAAGTCACCTTGACAGAAGCAGCTTTATGTCTTCCAATTGTAATTTGAAAACCAAAGGAAAAATTGAGGGACATGCTTAAAATGACTGCAAAAGGTATGAAATGTTACTGCCCGAGCTGTAAAAAAGTTGTTTTTGTTGTGGTTTTACCCAAAAGTGTAGCCGTGGAGCTCTGATTACTTCAACATTCCCACTTTGACATGAACGTCTCTTCAGCCCTACTCCAGTAACGTCACGGGCTTAGTTTACCTCCTTGTTCTGAAAGACAGGTAGAGCTAGCTCATGGTTACAGGTTCCAAAAGAGATGAAATGACTTTAGACTTGAATTTGGAAGGTAAAGACTTGGAGTTAGAAGGCCAGACCCTGCCTGTGGAAAAGAGTTTGTTTTCATGGCTCCCCTTCCTACAGGATGGAAAAGGGGAGGAGAGAGGAAACATTTCATGTTTTTGCTTATGGTCAAATTGAAGACAAAAACTAACACTTGTAAGACAGGAGAGGAGCATTTAGGTACAAAATCAGTCAAACATTTGTGTATCACTGCATTCGTTGAGCAAATGGAAGCTACCAGACTCAGAAAACCAGAGATGCTAATGGAACTGACATTAGTAACCAGGGGTTTCTACTGAGTTCAGTGCTCAGGGTGACTTTTAATAACACCCACCCTCCCCTCCACACACACACTTTTCTCAGGACTGGAAAGCTCAGGCAGCCCAGGATGAATAATGCAGTCACACAGAGGGGAAGAAGCAGGGATCGGCATTGTGAGCACCTGGGTGGGGCTGTGGGGCAGGGCATTGTGAGCACCTGGGTGGGGCTGTGGGGTGGGGCATTGTGAGCCACTGTGTAGAGCAGGTACTTACTCTAAACCCTGCCTATAGGTAAAAAGATTTTAATGTAAAAAGACCTTCAATTGTCCCACACCTTCCTTCTGAACCATCCCTTCCCTATGGTATACACGCTCCACTGTGAGGGGTAATGGCACAGGGATCCACCATCTTGTCTTGCCACCACTCAAGACACAGACATGGCTTCTGTTTATCAGTCCTTATTAAATGTTTCTTTCTAAGAAAAAAAAATAAGCTGGTACTTCTACATAAAGGAGAAGTATGGAGCTGTAAAAAAGAGTAAGATGTCTTTATTGCTATGGAGTGATTCCCAAGATAGGGTATGCAGAAAAGCAAAGAGAACATGCAGTAATATACACGAAAGAAAGCAGGCGAAATAATGTGTATTTCATTATTTAAAAATAAAAGCCAATGTTGGGGAAGTCTTGATGATGACCTGTGACAGTTTCCTTCTAACTTCACTGGGCAGCCAAAGTGCATATTTTCTCAAGATTTCATTTTGCTATGGGATCTGCAGAGGACGCTAACTGTGCACTTTTCGCCTTTGAGTTGGAGAAAACTTCGCTTTGTGATTCATTGTGCATTACGTGGTATACAGACTGCTCTTTCATTTTATTCTATCCTCTCAATATTTCGAGTCAGGTGTAAAATGGGAATTATACTGTGTTACATATGAGAAGGCTGGTTCTAAGAAGAAGACTCAGTACATCAAGAGTGTAAATTTTAGATTTATGGCATATAAAACTAGAATTTACAAAAAGGCATGCATATGACCTGCTTTAAATAGTACCCTTTATAAAAAAAAAAAAACAAAAAAACACAACTTTTTTTTCTTAGCTTACTAAAGCAATTAAGCCTCAGGATGAAAACAGCAATATTAGATGATGAGAAATAAAATGGGGTTACTTGTGACACAGTAATGCTTTTTATTGTGAAAAGACAGGGTCTTGCTTTGTCACCCAGGCAGTGGCGTGATTATAGCTCACTGCAGTCTCAATCTTCTAGGCTCAAAAGATCTTCCCACAACAGCCTTCCATATAGCTAGGGATACAAGGGCTCACCGCCACATCTGGTAATTTGTAGATTTTTTGTAGAGACGAGGTCTCACTGTGTTGCCCAGGTTGGTCTCAAACGTCTGACCTCAAGCAGTTCTTCTGCCTTAACCTCCAAAACTGTCAGGATTACAGCCATGGGCCAGCACACCTACCCCGGAAATGTTCCTAAAAGTCTGAAACAATAAGTTAAATGCTATTAAGAAATATGTAAAAAGATAAACATATACTATGGCATATGAAATGTCACCGTTCAGTCATGGTCACAACAGTGATTAAAATATCCAACAGTTGAGGCAAGTCTGAGAACAGAGAGGGACGTACAGGATTGGTTTGGAAGCCAGAATTAGGATTGTCAGAGCTGGGAAAGCAGAAGCAAGGCAAGAGTGTGCGCAGGAGTGGGGCACACAGCCGCTCCGTGGTATGCCGTGTGTCCTCTTTTACGGCAGGCCAGCTCCAGCCCAGCAGATGAGAATCACCTGATGGGTGGAAAGAGTGGATTCAGGTAAAATCTCAGACTGTGCATCATAACGGAGAGACTTAAAATATTTGCCTTATGGGTCATAAAACTACTAAAAGTGACAACATAGGGATAATAGAGTAGGTCAGTAAATGCAGTAAGCCACCTGCCACATCTCCATAGCCTCAACCATCCCACAGAAACACTGGGGCAGCAGGATTTCACAGAGCTTGTGAGAATAGCTCTCGGTCCAGGGTCCCGGGCATGATCTAGAGGACTCGGGTGTTCCGGGATCTCTCTCCCCGGGGAACCAACCACATGATTACCTCAGACCTATCATTCCTCACTGTGGTGACTGGGCAAGTCACTCAAAATGTCTGAATTTGAATTCACTGAATTTGAAAATAGGGGTTGTAGCCCCTTCCCTGCCTGTCCTTTGGGGATCAGGGAAATCACAGATCTCTGTCATGAGCTGGAAATCATGTGGCCATGGAAACTGTGAAGTCACTTTCCATCCTAATCCTGCGCAGACATGCAAGCTCCCTCTCTGTAGTCAACCACTACCAAGTGTCTGGATTATTCTTCCCGACATTGATTGAACATTTTAGGGCATTTACAAAAACATGAGTCTTTTTAAGTCTTTATCTGCATTTCATCCTTTTAGACACTATAGAGATTAGTAGGTCTATAGCCTAGATCTAATAATGTTTCCACATCTAAGAATAGGGAAGAGAGGCACAGATGGGTTCATATCCCTCTTCCAGGTATGTGCAGATTCTAAGTAGGATTTGAACCCAGCCTATTTTTTTGGTAACTTGGAACTTCTGCTTTTCTATATTGTCTCATCTGAATAAAGGTATCTGCCTGCACAAACAAATCTCCCTAGAACCCAGATCTAATTCAGGTAGCATTGAAAAGCACTCGGTGAAAACTAGGATCAAAAGTTTAAACTGAGAACGTTTTTACTAATTTCTCTGTGGTCCTCTGCCAGCAAGGTGTCAAGCATTGTCTTTATTATGATACATTTCTGCCTTGCAGGTTTGGCTGGCCGTGCCAGGAACTGGGTAGCAAAGAGGAGGCGCAAGAAAATTTGCCGCAGTGAAAATGAAGGTAGTGTGGAAATTATATCATGAAGTTGATTGAAGCAAATAATTTCAGTTTACTCATCCAGTGCCCCATATGAGAGAAACTCAGTAAATGCTGTGTCAGTTTCTTCATTTATTTCATTTGTGCCCATTGAAATGCATTTAATCAACGGGTGACGCAACTACACAAGGAAAGTTACGTTGACAACTTAGAGTTTGGTTCTTTTTGTTTCTTTATTTTTGTGAGAAAGTCTCATTTTGTCACCCAGGAGTGCACTGGTGCAATCACAGCTCATTGCAATCTTGACCTCCCCATGTTCAGCTGATCCTTCTACCTCAGCCTCCCAAGCAGTTGGCTGTAATGCACATGCTTTATATTAAGCTATTTTTTTTTAATGTTAGAGACAGGATTTCACCATGTTGCCCAGGCTTGGTTCACTTTTGATAGTAAAGGACATCTCGAATATTTAGACGTTTGCTTTCAGTTTGGGCAATTATGAATACAGCAGATATAAACCTTCTTGTGTCTTGTTTGGAAACAATTTTTACAATGTAACTAAGGCAATGCTAAAATTATGGTTACTTGTATGGTAAGACTACCTTTCTTTGTGAGAATTTTGGTAGAATTTACCGGTGAATTCATCTGAAGGTAGTGTTTTGTTTTGTTTTTTGAGAAGATACTAATTATTGATTCAATTTCTAAAATAAATATAGGCCTATTTAGATGATTCATTTATCTTGAGAAGACTTTTAACCTTCTGAAACAGATCCAGAAAATTAGCTCATTTCATATAATGTATCCAAGTGTGAGCACAGATGTGTTCACAATATTCCTTTATTATTATTTTTGATTCCACTTGTCTTCAACTGATATTATTGGTACATCGTGACTTCTTTTCCATTGTGGTTAGACAAGGTAGAGGTTCATCAATGTTTTTGATCTTTTCAAATAACTGGTTTTTGGTTTTGTTGATTTTCTCTGATTTCCTGTTTTTTATTCCTTTAATTTCTGCAATCATTATGTATTTTTCCTCTATTTGACATTACACTGCTGTTTTTCTTTCATTGCCCAAGGTGGAAGCTAGATTATGAATTTAGATTTTTCTCATTATTGACACAGCATCATGAATGTTACTCACTGAATATATCATTAAAATGCACAGTTAATAACTAAAATAATAAATATGTGTGCTTTACTACAATTTTAAAAATACAACAGGATAGATAATTGTAGTATCAGGATATGCAGATCCACAGAAGTTAAATAATCCTGTAACGTTTCATAAAATGTTGGGATTCATCTAGACCTTCACGTGGGCAGCAGATCTGATGAGATGCTCTCACTGAGCCATGCAGTGTCTTTCTGTATTAACCGGTTCTCAGACTATTTCACAGTGATGAGGTTGCTGTAGCTAGAAAACCCAAGGTTCTTTGGTTTCTTTCTGCCCCTCTCCTTTGCCTTCCTTCAACACCAAGGAGAGTGGTCCAGCAGCAGCTCAGTCCATGCTTGTCAGCAGCCCAGCTCCATACACTGCAGCTTCAGTCCACGTCCCCCAAGCCTCCTTGTGGGATTCCTCACAGCACCAGTGCACTGACTGTCTCTCTGTGTCCTCCTAGCTCCCGTTCAAGACCCGGAGGAGGAGACGTCACCTGAGATAGTAAGATGCATTTCTTTGTCTTGAAGAGAAATATCTTTTTCTGGGGCTTCTAGAATGTCAAGTGAGTATCATTTTTGACTGCCATTGTGAATCAGGCCTCAGCTGTCATAGACTCCAGCTACCAGTCACTGGAGCTTATGACCAACTGAGGCCTGATTGATGATGTCAGTCCAAAGGTGACATCACTGACAAGTTAGTAGTGAGCCTATTTCTCAGTAGCAACATTTTCTTCCTGAAAAATAATTTTGTATTTGGCAGCCAACATGGACTTGCTCAATATCCCATGAAAAACCAGGTTCCCGGAAGGTGGACTCCTCCTGGAAGGCCCCTCTGCCTATTAGCTCTAGAGCCCATCAGATTGCCCATGCTCCTTTTCATCCTGGGGGCGCGGTCTCTGCATTCTCCCAACTCCCACCAGGTCCTTACGTGGTCATCCCGTGAATCAGCAGAACCGGCTCCTCCCTCTTCTCCAGGGTGTGGGGTCCCTGGGGTTCAGAAACTACTCTCCTGAGCACCCGCATTTATCTCATCCCGGGATTAGGAGCTGCTGCAGGAGGAGAACCGGCAGAAGCTGGGCCTGAGCACCAACCTCAAGCAGGTGGAGGATGAGAAGAATTCCTTCTGGGAACAGCTGGAGAAGGAGAAGGAGGCCACGCACAACCTTGAGAAGCAGATTGCCACCCTCCATGCCCAGGTTTGGAGGCCCAGGGAACTGGCCAGATGCTGCAGGCTGGAGAGCTGCTGGCCTGGGCACTGCAGGACAGACTGCTGCTGAGCCAGCCTATTGCTCTTTTCCAGGGAAGCCCCCCTCCCCCCTGCTGTCCCACATCAGTGCTCTTAGCCTGAGGCCATAAGAGAGGAATCCAGGGGTCTGTGGACTTAGATGGGGGACACCACTATTTTCACTGCTATTTTATACTTTATGTTCACCAGTCTAGCTACAATGTAGCACTGCTTCCATTATGAACATAGCCACAAGCCATGGTGCTGGCAGTCCCTGTGCCCTTGTCACCTGGAGAAATGGCCAGTTACCCTGTTAGGGTCATGGCTCAGCTCCTTGGCCTCGTGATTGCCAAGCCTGCGCTGAGTTTGCTATCTGATGTGCTACCTGGGGTCACGTGGCTTCCTGAGTGATGGCAACTGCATTTCTCTATACTGATTGCCTGGGTGATCCCTTATGTTTATTTCATGCCTGTTAAAACATTGTCATGAGAAGGAGTCCCTAGTCCTCCCTATAGAATGTCAAGGGGTCCGTAGACTAATGTCAGGGTCCCTGTCGTAGATCCTATTTTAGGCCTCCACGTGGCGGGCCAGAAGGCCTGATCCACCTCCAGATGGGCTGGGAGTTCATTCCAAAGTCAGGGTAGGAGTCGCCTTCGAGCGCATGTGGTTGCAGGTTTATCTGCAGATGCAAGGGCTGAGTTATGGGGACCCCGTGTACACCCCCACAGGGCACTGGCCTTGCTCTCTGGGGGTGGTCCCCCAGAGAGCGAGAGGCTTGGTGTGGATGAGGGCTTGGAATCCCCTCAGCGGGCCTAGGAGTCAGCCTCCCCGCAGCTTCACACACTAGATGGATGCCTTTCTGCAGAAACTCCATTTGTCTTGCCCCCATGGAGAGGGAAGTGACTGGGGGAGGCAGTTTCATAACTGGGCGGATCCCTGGTGCCCCTTTCACAGTGTGGCAGGCAGGCTCCCAGCTGTCCCAGGGACAGGTGTGTCACCTGAGCAGGTGCCATCTCAGGCATCTGCTTATTCCTTGCTCCTGCCCAGGTGGCCGACATGACGAAGATTGAGGACAGTGTGGGGTGCCTGGAAACCTCAGAGGAGGTGAAGAGGCAGCTCCGGAAGGACCTGAAGGGCCTGAGCCAGGGGCACAAGGACAAGCTGGAGAATACCAAGACATGTCTGCAGCAGGAGCTGGACGACCTGCTTGTGGACCTGGACAACCAGCGCCACATGGTGTGCCACCTGGAGGAGAAGCAGAAGAAGTTTGACCAGGTGTGTAGCCATCCACCCCATCTTTTGCATTTTCTCTCCTTCTGGCACTCAGCCCAAGGCGAGGACCTCATCAGAGAAACCCTGGGCTCCCTTGAGACCTTGCCCGGGAGGGGTCATGCGGGGCCAGCACTTACAGGACCCCTAGTCTCTGGCTTGTTGAGGGGCTTGGGGAGAAGGCCAGCGGAAGAGGGTGTCTTCATGCAGTGGGTTGAGGAGGAACTTTTCCTTTCTGGGTTTTCACGTTTTTTTCAGATTTTCTATAATGAACTGGTTTTCCTGTCATCTAAACCATTTATTTGTGCATCCATATTGCTTCCTTATTCCAAAAGATCTGAGGGAAGGTGAGGGAGATGTGAACACCAGGGCGGGATAGACATCGAGCATGGAACTGTGGCGGCCGGGTCCAGCCCGCTGCGTTTTGGGGAGAAAGCTGCATCAAACGCACACACACACTGTCGTTCTTGTGTTGGCTCTGGTTGTTGCGCTGTGGTAGTGGGGTTGAGTTTCTGCAGACTGTGGGGCCTGTATACCCTAAAGAATGCACTCTTGACTGGGCATTCTTATATGCCTATAAGCTCAGAACTTTGGGAAGCCAAGGTGGGCGGATCACCAGGTCAAGAGTTCGAGAGCAGCCTGGCCAACATGGTGAAACCCCATCTCTACTAAGAATACAAAAATTAGCTTGGGCCCAGCTGCTCTGCCCTGCTGGGGGCTGTAGCTCGGAGCCTGTGGGGCTGAGCCTCATGATGCCCCTCTCTTTCCCAGCTCCTGGCAGAGCAGAAGACCATCTCTGCCAAGTATGCAGAGGAGCGTGACCGGGCCAAGGCCGAGGCCCGAGAGAAGGAGACCAAGGTGCTGTTGCTGGCCCGGGCCCTGGAGGAAGCCATGGAGAAGAAGACGGAGCTGGAGCAGCTCAACAAGCAGATCCGCATTGAAATAGAGCACTTCCTGAGCTCCAAGGGCAAGAGCGTGAGTGCTGGGCCTGGCAGCCAGGTCTTGGAAGGGGCCCGAGCGGGGTCATCACAGAGGGTCAATGCATACACACCTTTCGGGTCTAGCAGACCCAGGTCCCTGCCAGTCCCTTTGCTCCTGACTTGGGCTCTCTGGGGCTCAGGTTTATGAGCTGAAGTCCAAGTGGGCTCTGGAGCAGCAGGTGGAGGAGATGAAGATCGCCCTGGAGGAGATGGAGGATGAGCTGCAGGACACTGAAAATGCCAATCTGCAGCTGGAGGTCAACCTGCAGGCCATGAAGATCCAGTTCGAGCAGGACCTGCAGGGCCGGGACGAGCAGAGTGAGGAGAAGGTGCAGCAGCTGGTCACACAGGTGTGTGTGGGCTCCTGCTACCCCACGGTGGCCAGGGTTGCCCTGGCTTCACCCAGGCTTCCATTTCCTCCTTCTACCTGGATTGTGTTAGGGCCCTGGACCTCGCCTCCCGTCCCCTGTCCCTCCTGTCCAGTCCCCTGACCATTGGGTCAGCGACTCACCTTCTTAGAGTTCTTCGAGTCAGTAATGCCCACTGGCTTCCGGAGGCCCCGCAGATCCTGCAGAGACACCTGGGTTCAGAGCCAGAGCAGGGTCTCTGAGTGGGTCCAGCTTCCCAAGCTGTCAGTGTTCCTTCCTCCAGGTGTGGGACATAAAGGCAGAGCTGGAGGATGAGAGGAAGAGTCACTCCATGTCAGTGGCCGCCTGGAAGAAGCTGGGGATTGACCTGGAGGCGCGCATCGACTCGGCCAACAAGAACCAGGATGAAGCCGTCGAGCAGATGCGGAAGTGGCGGGTAAGGGCGGGCAGTCCCCAGCTGAGCCAGCTACATGCGAGGGCACTGGGGAGGTTCTGGGTGCTTCCAGCCCCATCTCACTAATGGAGACAGGCTCAGAGGTGAGTGGAAACAATAGTCCAACAGCAAACTTGCAGAACGGTGCATGGCTGAGTACATGAAACACAGAAGCAAACAGGCAAGTGCAGGCCTAGGCATGGGGGAGTTCAGAAGGTCTCACCCAGTGCAGACTCCAGCATCAGCTGCGTCCTGACGCTCCAGCCTTCTGGGCTCCGGTGTGATGGTTCCGAGAAGCAGCCTAGAGTGTGGGATACATACTTGGAAATTTTCACCTCACCAATAATTGAAGAATAATGAACACATTAAAAACAGCTCTGATATGTCATATCATGTAGCAAGAATAACCCTAGGTTTAAAATACATTTGAGTCAGTGTCTTGCTCTTTTGCCCAGGCTGGAGTGCAGTGGCACAATCTTGTGTCACCAGAACCTCTGCCTCTTGGGTTCAGGCGATTCTCCTGCCTCAGCCTCCCGAGTAGCTGGGATTATAGGTGTGTGTTCCCATGCCTGGCTAATTTTCGTATTTTTAGTAGAGATGGCGGTTCACTGTGTTGGCCAGGGTGGTCTCAAACTCCTGACCTCGTGATCTGACAGCCTCAGCCTCCCATAGTGCTGGGATTACAGGCGTGAGCTGCTGTGCCTGGGCAAAAAAAAATCTGTAAAAGCTAACTGTGGGCAAGGTTGTGGGGCACAGATACTCTGCTGTTGGCATGTTCTGCTGCTGTGGACTGGCTGCACACACCCAGTCGTGCACTTTGGCTTGGGGAATCTGTTTTTGGAGTTATCTGCAAATGGAAGAAAAGAGTATTTGACAAAAATCTTTAGCATTAAAACAAATGGGAGGTGGGTAACAAAAGGAAAGGTGTTTCCTGCCTGTGGTGGGGACACCTGCCAGGCTGGGCACTGGTTTAAAGCGGCGGGTGCGCATTAGGGGTGGCACCGTGGGCACTGGTCTCCCGCCCACAGAGGGGACAGAAGTGGAGAATGAAGCTCAGCCTGGGCTTGCGTCCACAGTGATCAACACTGTCAAAGTGTGAGTTATGAAGTGGGACACAGATTTTTGTCCTCAGTTGCTTTTTCTCCCTGTCACCATGGTTGGTTAAATATCGAGCAGAGTACAGCCATCCCTGTGTGCGAGATGACGCTCGAGGGTGGGGGTGGAGGGCCGAGGGCCAAGGACCTGGGTGGGGTGCCAAGCCTCTGTCCCTGCCCCAGGCCCAGGTTAAACACTGCATGCGTGAGCTGGACGACACCCGCGCCTCTCGCGAGGAGATCCTGGCCCAGGCCAAAGAGAATGAGAGGAACCTGAAGAGTGTGGAGGCCGAGATGATCCACTTGCACGAGGTGGGTGGGATGGCAGTGGAGAGTGGCACTGCTGCCCTGCAGCTAGCAGGTCGCAGCACAGGGCTTTCAGCAGAGGGCTAGGGTCTGACTCAGCTCTCCTGTTACAAAAGGATTCCCTCCAGGGTTCCATTACATAGTGGGCCTCCCTGGTATGATGAGATTGTGTGAGTGAAATGCCTCACATCAGATGAGGCTCCGTGGCTGCCACCACCTGCCGTGACCGATGGAGGGTCTCAGCATCCCCATAGCTGCCCTGTCCATGTCGCACCTGAGCCAGTCCTGAAGTGTTTCCTGGGTCTAGAGGGTGCCCTGCAGTGTGACTTGCCGGGTGTGACTGCGTCCAGGGTGTAGTCGTCTCCTGCCTGCAGGCTCTGGAGCTGACTCCAGACTCTGGCTACCCTGAGCAGCAGGGCAGCAGTGAGCGGCTCTGTCCACGTGGTCTGCCCTGCTTAGGCCAGGACACTTGTTAGTCATCAACACACCCTGGCACCTGGCTTGATTCCTAGCACTTAAATGTAGTTCAGTTTTATGAACATACAATGCTTTTCAACTATGACTTTAGGGGGGCACCAGCCCTGTGAGCTAGAGGAATCCTGGAGGAAGAGCTTTCTGGGGAGGTGGGGCTGGGGAAGGGCTTGAGAGGAGGGTGCCCAGGGCTGGGAAGGATGGTCTTGTGGGGCTGTGGCTGCCTTCAGGTCACATTCTGGATCTCTGTGGCAGGAACTGGCAGCCACGGAGCGTGCCAAGCGCCAGGCCCAGCAGGAGCGGGACGACCTGCTCGTGGACCTGGACCACCAGCGCCAGATAGTGTGCCACCTACAGAAGAACCAGAAGAAGTTTGACCAGGTGTGTAGCCATCCACCCCATCCTTTGCATTTTCTCTCCTTCCGGCACTCAGCCCAAGGCGAGGGCCTCATCAGAGAAACCCTGGGCTCCCTCGAGACCTTGCCCGGGAGGGGTCGTGCGGGGCCAGCACTTAGAGGACCAGCACTTGGGGAGAAGGCCAGCGGAAGAGGGTGTCTTCATGCAGTGGGTTGAGGAGGAACTTTTCCTTTCTGGGTTTTCACGTTTTTTTTCAGATTTTCTATAATGAACTGGTTTTCCTGTCATTTAAACCATTTATTTGTGCATCCATATTGCTTCCTTATTCCAAAAGATCTGCGGGAAGCTGAGGGAGATGTGAACACCGGGGCGGGATAGACATCAAGCATGGAACTGCGGCGGCCGGGTCCAGCCCGCTGCGTTTTGGGGAGAAAGCTGCATCAAACGCACACACACACTGTCGTTCTTGTGTTGTCTCTGGTTGTTGCGCTGTGGTAGTGGGGTTGAGTTTCTGCAGACTGTGGGGCCTGTATACTCTAAAGAATGCACTCTTGACTGGGCATGGGATTATATGCCTATAAGCCCAGAACTTTCGGAAGCCGAGGTGGGCGGATCACCAGGTCAAGAGTTCGAGAGCAGCCTGGCCAACATGGTGAAACCCCATCTCTACTAAGAATACAAAAATTAGCTTGGGCCCAGCTGCTCTGCCCTGCTGGGGGCTGTAGCTCGGAGCCTGTGGGGCTGAGCCTCATGGTGCCTCTCTCTTTCCCAGCTCCTGGCAGAGGAGAAGACCATCTCTGCCAAGTATGCAGAGGAGCGTGACCGGGCCGAGGCCGAGGCCCGAGAGAAGGAGACCAAGGTGCTGTCGCTGGCCCGGGCCCTGAAGGAAGCCATGGAGCAGAAAGTAGAGCCGGAGCGGCTCAACAAGCAGTTCCGCGTGGAGATGGACCTCATGAGCTCCAAGGGCAAGAGCGTGAGTGCCGGGCCTGGCAGCCGGGCCTTGGGAGGGGCCCGAGCGGGGTCATCACAGAGGGTCAACGCATACACACGTTCCGGGTCTAGCAGACCCAGGTCCCTGCCAGTCTCTTTGCTCCTGACTTGGGCTCTCTGGGGCTCAGATCCATGAGCTGAAGTCCAGGCGGCTTCTGGAGCAGCAGGTGGAGGAGTTGAAGACCCAGCTGGAGGAGCTGGAGGATGAGCTGCAGGACACTGAAAACGCCAATCTGCGGCTGGAGGTCAACCTGCAGGCCATGAAGATCCAGTTCGAGCGGGACCTGCAGGGCCGGGACGAGCAGAGTGAGGAGAAGCAGCAGCAGCTGGTCAGACAGGTGTGCGTGGGCTCCTGCTACCCCACGGTGGCCAGGGTTGCCCTGGCTTCACCCAGGCTTCCATTTCCTCCTTCCACCTGGATTGTGTTAGGGCCCTGGACCACGCCTCCCCTCCCCTGTCCCTCCTGTCCGGTCCCCTGTCCCTCGGGTCAGCGACTCACCTTCTTAGAGTTCTTTGAGTCAGTAATGCCCACTGGCTTCCGGAGGCCCCGCAGATCCTGCAGAGGCACCTGGGTTCAGAGCCAGAGCAGGGTCTCTGAGTGGGTCCAGCTTCCCAAGCTGTCGGTGTTTCTTCCTCCAGGTGCGGGAGATGGAGGCAGAGCTGGAGGACGAGAGGAAGCGGCACTCCACGGCAGCGGCAGCCCGGAAGAAGCTGGAGATTGACCTGGAGGCGTGCATCGACTCGGCCAACAAGAACTGGGATGAAGTCATCGAGCAGCTGTGGAAGTGGCGGGTAAGGGCGGGCAGTCCCCAGCTGAGCCAGCTACATGCGAGGGCTCTGGGGCGGGAGCCTGGCAGGGTGGCACCTCTTGGGAAGGTCCTGGGTGCTTCCAGCCTCATCTCACTAATGGAGACACAGGCTCAGAGGTGAGTGGAAACAACAGTCCAACAGCAAACTTGCAGAATGGTGCATGGTTGAGTACATGAAACACAGAAGCAAACAGGCAAGTGCAGGCCCAGGCATGGGGGAGTTCAGAAGGCCTCACCCAGTGCAGACTCCAGCATCAGCTGTGTCCTGACGCTCCAGCCTTCTGGGCTCCGGCGTGATGGTTCCAAGAAGCAGCCTAGAGTGTGGGATACATACTTGGAAATTTTCACCTCACCAATAATTGAAGAATAATGAACACATAAAAACAGCTCTGATATGTCATATCATGTAGCAAGAATAACCGTAGGTTTAAAACACATTTGAGTCAGAGTCTTGCTGTTTTGCCCAGGCTGGTGTGCAGTGGCGCAATCTTGTGTCACCACAACCTCTGCCTCTTGGGTTCAGGCGATTCTCCTGCCTCAGCCTCCGGAGTAGCTGGGATTATAGGTGCGTGTCCCCATGCCTGACTAATTTTCGTATTTTTAGTAGAGATGGCAGTTCACTCTGTTGGCCAGGGTGGTCTCAAACTCCTGACCTCATGATCTCACAGCCTCGGCCTCCCAAAGTGCTGGGATTACAAGCATGCATCACCATGCCTAGCCTTCATGGGGCCTTTTTTTAAGCACCAGTAGTCAGTTTTGGATGTGAATTTTCTGCCGTGTGGTAGTAGGTCCCTGTCTGTGCACCGGCTGTGGTTCACCTGTGTACCCACTGTGGTGTCACCTGTTTTACGAGTTGGATCAAAAGGTGGCATTTTACACTTTTCTGCGTTTCTTGTTGTAACTGTTTCTGTTCGCCTGAACTCTGTGTGCTGCTGTTGTGTATGAAGATGTCTGACCACTAAATATTCTGTGGGAAGATTGTTTTGAGAGCGGACCTGTTTAGCTGAGCTGTGGCTCCCAAGGCTCCGCCTTGTTTTGGTGGGAGCAGCCAGGCGCCTGATTTCCCTCTCGAATTTGCTGTGGGATTTGTGTGCTGTGCTGTGGCCTCCCTGGCCAGGCCCCACTGACTCTGCCTCTGCCTCTGCCCCCAGGCGTGGGGACCTGCCGTTTGCCCCAACGAATGCTCAGACGAGGTGGATGGCAAAGCAGATGGAGATGAGGCCAAACCTCCAAATAAGCCTCCTCTCCTGCAGCCTCAGATGGACAGGCGGACACTGCAGCCTCTTCTTCCCAGACCCTGCCGCACACCTCCCTTGACCTTGGGACTGCTGTGAACGTGCCTCTTACCCGCATCCCATCTTTCTTCAGGCCCGAGGGTAGTTTACCTGCACAGTTGATTCAGCATGGTTAAAAATCTGCCACCTGCACAGATATTCTTGAAAGCAGAAAAAAAGGTTTTCTTTTAATAAAATCCTGAGGCTTTCTCACTGCCTTTCTTTAGAAGAGAGTAGCTTGTCCTCACGGGTCTACATTGGTTGCCGAATTTACCTGTATTCCTAACCGTTTTCTATATGCTGCATTGAGCCTTACGGCAAGAAGGCATTTTTTTAAAAAAAGGAAACAAACTCTCAAATCATGAAGCGATATGAAAACTGCATATGTCTACAAAGCTCTGAATTCAGGTCCCAGTTGCTGTCACAAAGGAGCGGGTGGAACTCCCGCCCTCCCCCGTCTTATATAATAAAAATTTCTGAGCATGTGTGGCAGCAGTCACCACTGCAGTAAGCTGGTCTACAGATGTTTTCCACCGAACACCACAGTAAACAGTGCCATGTGCTACCAGCTGTGTCTGTAGCATTTGTCTGTGGCAGGGGGGCCCCGGATGGGACTGGGCCTCGCTCCTGTGGCCAGTGCCAGCTCTGCATTGTGAGGGAGCCAGACTGGCTGTTGCGTAGGCTGGGCTAGCTGTGGGCAGTTGCGCAGAAAAGGAAAGGTGGAAAGGTGGGCCGGGCCAGATCTGAGGAGGCTAAGAGTATCTTAGAAACCTTGGTTTAAGGCTGGCATGGTGGCTCACGCCTATAATCCCAGCACCTTGGGAGGCCTAGAAAGGTGGATCACCTGTGGTCAAGAGTTTGAGACCATCCTGGCCCACATGGTGAAACCCTGTCTCTATTAATACAAAAATTAGCTGGGTGTGGTGTGTGCCTGTAATCCCAGCTACTCAGGAGGCTGAGGCAGGAGAATCAGTCTAACCAGCGAGTTGGAGGTTGCAGTGAACCAAGATCATGCCACTGTACTCCAGCCTGGCAACAGAGCCAGACTCTGTCTAAAAAAAAAAACTGGATGTGGTGGTGGCAGGTGCCTGTCATCCCAGGTACTGGGAGGCTGAGGCAGGAGAATTGCAGTGAGCCAAGATTGTGCCATTAAACTCCAGCCTGAGCAATGGGAGCAAAACTCCATCTGGGATAAAAAGAAACCCTGGTTCATTTCAGTTCTGAGCACCTACTAAGTGCAGCACGCTAAGCTTCGTTAGGGATAGAGGCACAAAATGGGCCCAGACCCTTACATGGGGATCTTTCCTACTCTGAAGAACACACCTGCTCTATGGAGGTGCAGCCCGGTGCTGCGGATGCCCAGTGGGGATTGGAAGCTCTTCATAGGACTGACAAAGGTTTTGTTCATCCTTTCAATGAAGCCTGAGCGTAAACCAGCCCCTTGCTAGGTGCGGGGAGTAGGAGGGCAGTGAAGGCAGATGCCCCTGTGATTGGTTGCAGGGAAGAGGCTTTCCTTGGAGAAGGCTGTGGCATTCTCTGGAATGTGTGCATTTGGCTGGTAGGGTTGCTAGGGAAACCTCGTGCTGCTACACAGGACACCGTTCAGGCCTCCGACAAACCTGTGCAGCCTCTGAGCAGGTGCCCTTTCAGCCCCTGGGCAGGGAGGAGGAAATGATGGGAGAGCTGCTGAGACCGGGCACTGGAGAGCTTTGTGTGCTTCTCTTTCCCTTCAATAACATTGGAGTTTCAGGCTACAGAGTCGGTCCACACTTGTTATACACCACACACTTCTAGGTCAGGTTCCAGCTCCACCACTTCCTGTCACACTGGGCAAGGGGCTTTGCCTCTGTGCTTATTTCTCACTATGGCTCACGTTTCAGGGGTCGGCTTTGGTGGCCTGAGGTTCGAATGCCCTTCTGCTTTCTCCTGGGCACAAGGGTAGTTCATCTGCACCATTGACACAGAATAGTTTAAAAATCTGACGGGGCACAGTGGCTCAGGCCTGTAATCCCAGCACTTTGGGAAGCTGAGGCAGGTGAATAATCTGAGATCAAAAGTTTATGACCGGCCTGGTGGCCAACATGGTTAAACCCCTTCTCTGCTAGAAATGTAAATTAGCCAGGCATGGCAGATGCCTATAATTCCAGCTACTCAGGAGGCTGAGGCAAGAGAATTGCTTGAGCCCGGGAGGGGGAGGTGGCAGTGAACATTGCACTCCAGCCTGGGTGACAAGTGAAACTTAAATAAATAAATGAATGAATGAATGAATAACTGCCACTCACTGAGATATTTTTGAAAGAAAAAAATATTCTCTCCCTTTCTTGTTATAAATGATAAAATTCCAAGGCTTTCTCACTGCCTTTCCTTTCAAACCATGTTTAGAAGAGTGTAGTGTGACAAGCTCAAAGCAAATATTTGTTATCACCTAATTTGTCAGTGGGATTTAGGTGCTATCTGCTCATTGTCTCCACTGAGTGAGACACCCTGTTGGAGGGAGAATGGCCTTGGTGGGAGCACCTTTCAGTTAACTTCCATCTCCAGATAACTCAAGCAGACAGCATGAGATGCTATTTTTTGGCCAGGCGAGGTGGCTCACACCCGTAATTCCAGCACTTTGGGAGGCCAAGGCGGGGATCACCTTAGGTTGGGAGATTGAGACAACCCCGACTGACATGGCAAAACCCCATCTCTACTAAAAATACAAAATTAGCTGGGCGTGGTGGCCCGTGCCTGTAATCCCAGCTACTCAGGAGGCTGAGGCATAAGAATTGCCTGAACCCAGGAGGTGGAGGTTGCAGTGAGCCGAGATCGCGCCATTGCACTCCAGCCTGGGTAACAAGAGCGAAACTCCGTCTCAAAAAAAAAAAAATAATGGTAAGTTTATATTTTCCCAGTGAATGGACTTTATAGCAGCACTGTCTCTAAATATCACCGTTCCTCCTCAAGCCGAGTTAGTCTGCTCATGGTATAGAGCCCCAGGCTCACTCCGGCTGGTATTTATCTGTCATCTCCCTTCTCATCATTCTCAACCTTTATGCCTCTTGTAAGCTCCACACGCGGGCTGACTCCAACCCCACTTTACCTTCTAAGCTCTATGTCATGAACAAGGTCCTATCTTTTTTTTTGTGAGACAGTCTTGCTCTGTCACCAAGCTGAAGTGCAGTGGCGTGGTCTCAGCTCACTGCAACCTCTGCTGCCCGGGTTCAAGCAATTCCCCTGCTTCAGCCTCCTCAGTAGCTGGGACTACAGGTACATGCCAACATGCCAGGCTAATTTTTTTGTATTTTAGTAGAGACAGGATGATCTTGATCTCCTGACCTTGTGATCCACCCACCTTGGACTCCCAAAGTGCTGGGATCACAGGTGTGAGCCCAAGGTCCTATCTTGAGCTCATTGGCAGGGTGAAGTCACAGGGCTGTCAGGACTAGAACCCTCAGTACAGGGACACAGAATAGATTTCCCAGCCATGGCCACCGGTGCCTCACTGGGCTCCACACCAGCAGCCGGACTGTGCCAGCCAGGGTTCTCAGCTCTCCTCACTGGATGCTGCCACCCCCTGGGTGTGCTCTGGTCTCTGCACCTCCCTAGCCTGCTGCCTGGAGGACCTCTCTCCAGCTTTCCATCTCAGCCATCTCAGCCACTTTCCAGGGCAGCCTCTGCTGTCACCCAAGCTGGGGAACACCCCTCAGGGATGCCTAGCTGTGGGATCACCAGCTCCAGGAAGGTGGGGACCCAGACTGCTCGTTCCATTCCCTGCTATGTTCCCAGCCCCAGGCACACAGTAGGTGCTCATTCATTGTACAACTACTGACAGTGTGAATGGTGACTGAGGTAAAGGGTTAAATGCACCCAAAGTCACTGTGAATTCAGCAGCTAAAGATCCAATGTGGGTCAGCTCTCCCCATACATAATTTCAGAAAAGGGCCCCAGCCAGGCATGGTGGCTCACACATGTAATCCCAGCACTTTGAGAGGGCAGGTGGATCACCTGAGGTCAGGAGTTTGAGGTCATCCTGGCCAACATGGTGAAACCACGTCTCTATTAAAAATACAGAAATTAACCAGGCATGGTGGTGCATGCCTGTAATCCCAGCTACTAGGGAGGCTGAGGCAGGAGAATCGCTTGAAACTGGTAGGCAGAGGTTGCAGCGAGCCGAGATCATGCCACTACACTCCAGCCTGGGTGAGAGAGAGAGACTCCATCTCAAAAGAATAAAAGGAAGGCTCCCCCCATCTCCCAATAAAGAGGGTGGTGAAGTGCTTGGACCTGCTGGTAAATACCACACCTCCACCCACAGCCTGTGACCTGGCAGGTTCCTCTTGGCCATCTGTGAATCAGAGGTGGTGGCGTCGAGGAGGACACCAGCCAGGGTGCTTGCATGGGACTGCTAGGGCAGCTGGATCACCTGAGGTCAGGAGTTCGAGACCAGCTTGGCCAACATGGTGAAACCCCGTCTCCACTAAAAATACAAAAGTTAGCTGGGTGTGGTGGCGGGCCTGTAATCCAAGCTACCCAAGAGGCTGAGGCAGGAGAATCCCTCGAACCCAGGAAGCAGAGAGCTTGCATTGAACCAAGATGGCTCCACTACACTCCAGTCTGGGCAACAGAAGGAGGCTCCATCTCAAAAAAAAAAAAAAATCTAAAAACCCCACAGGCAATTCCTGCGTGTGCAGAAGGTAAACGTGTCTCCTCCACAGGTGCATGCAATACCTCTTGGACTTCCTCCTAATTCTATCATGGACTTATGCTTTTGGCTGAAAGACTTACCCTCACTTTACAAAGAAAAGGAGTACTTACGACATGAATGTAATTTTCTTTGTTCAGCAAAACCTTTTACTGAGCACTTATTAAGCGGCAGACATTCTCACAGACCCGACGTGAGCACGTTCCACATCATCCTTAGATCGCAGCTCTGAGGAGAGTGCGGATGTGACCCTCATCTTCCTTCCAGGTGAGAAAAGCAATGCTTAAAGAAGCTAAACAGGCTGGGTGCAATGGCTCACGCTTGTAATCCCAGCACTTTGGGAGGTCAAGGCTGGCGGATCACCTGAGGTCGGGACTTCGAGACCAGCCTGACCAACGTGGAGAAACCCTGTCTCTACTAAAAATACAAAATTACCCAGATGTGGTGGTGCACACTTAAGATCCCAGCTACGTGGGAGGCTGAGGCAGGAGAATGGCTTGAACCTGGGAGGGGGAAGTTGCAGTGAGTTGAGATCACTCCACTGCGCTCCAGCCTGGGCAACAAGAGCAAAACTCCGAAAACATCATCCTTAGCAAACTGACACAAGAACAGAAAATGAAACACCGCATATTCTCACTCATAGGTGGGTGATGAAAAATGAGAACACATGGACACAGAAAGGGGAGTACTAAACAGTGGGGTCTATTGGGGGGAAAAGGGGAGGGCCAGTGGGAGGGGGAGGTGGGGAGGGATAGCCTGGGGAGAAATGCCAAATGTGGGTGAAGGGGAGAAGAAAAGCAAAGCACACTGCCATGTGTGTACCTACGCAACTGTCTTGCATGCTCTGCTCATGTACCCCAAAACCTATAATCCAATAAAAAATTAAAAAAAAAAAAAGAGCAAAACTCCCTCACATAAAATGAAGAAAAGCTAAACAACTCGCTGAGCATGGGTGGAGCTTCAGGTTTCAGTTATGTGGACTGGCAGGCTTGATGCTTCAATTGCCATGGCAACGGGCATCTGTACCCTCCTCACCCATCCTGTTGTTCCTGCTTCACCCTTACTATGACGTGTTCTATCATTACCACCAGCACACAGATGTCCTATGCCCGCTCCACATGTCTCTATCACAGCTGAGACATATGAACTTACTTTTCAAATTTCAAATTTCCAGATCTCTTACTATACTTTTTTATTTTTATTTTTATTTTTTTTAGACAGGGTCTTGCTCTGTTGCCCAGGCTGGAGTGCAGAGGCATGATCTCAGCTCATTGCAGCCTCTGCCTCCTGGGCTCAAGCCATCCTCCTACCTTAGCCTGCCAAGTAGCTGGGACTATAGGCACGCATCACCATGCCCAGCTAGATTCTGTATTTTTGGTTGAGCCAGGGTTTTACTATGATTCCCAGGCTGGTCTTAAACTTGTGAGCTCAAGTGATCTGCCTGCCTCAGCCTCCCAAAGTGCTGGGATTACAGCTTCGAGCCACCACACCCAACCTTATTATGCATTTCTTACGGGCATTGAACGTGTCTTTATAAAAAAAGGCTGGGCATGGTGGCTCACACCTGTAATCCCAGCACTTTCAGAGGCCTAGGCAAGTGGATCACCTGAGGTCAGGAGTTTGGGACCTGCCTGGCCAACATGGTGAAACTCATCTCTACAAAACTACAACAATTAGCCGGGTATGGTGGTGGGAGCCTGTAATCCCAGCTACTTTGGAGGCTGAGGCAGGAGAATCACTTGAATCCAGGAGATGGAGGTTGCAGTGACCTGAGGTTGTGCCACTGCACTCCAGCCTTAGCGACAAGAGTAAAACTCCGTCTCAAGAAAAAAAAAAGAAAAATTGTGCTAAAATACACAAGGCATAAAACGTGCCCTCTTGGGCGCTTTGAAGTGTGCAGCCCGGCAGCATGTGCTCACGTTGCTGTGTTTTCTGTGCTTTTACAAACAAGGACACCTGTCCAGGCCCCAGGCCCCTGGGGCATTTCTGCATTCACAAGCTCTGGTTCTCTGGTATCTTCTGGAAGGGGTTGTTTACCATATGGGACTGAGCCAGGAAGCCAAGATCAGGCTGGGCCGGGGAGGCCGAGTGCTCATGGGCCTGGGCCTGGAACTGCCATTCCTGTGGCTCCTTCAACGCTCTGGGCCCTGGGTGTCCCTGGGGCCTGCAGCAACACCCCAGGCTCCCTCCACTGGCTTGGGGACTGTTCAGAGACTCTGGCTTTGGGGCACCCGGGCCACGGGAGCCTCAGACTCCCACTCCAGCCTCCTTTCTTCTGCCTCAATTTCAGCTTTCTTGGTCTGCATCTCACCTGGCATCCTGGCCATGAGAACTCCAACCCCACCCTTATATGAACCAAGTCCACTAACCACTGACCCCCTCTCCAGGCTGGGTCCTGCTGGGGAGTGCCTTCTGCCTGTGAGACAGGGGCACAGGCAGGGCAGCTTCTCACACACAGTGCACAGAAAGCCACAGCCCCCCTCCAGCCCTGCCTCAGGACTGACTCACCCTTCCAAGAATGTGACAGAAACCAGGGCCACTTCACATCAGAAAGCCCTCGGGAAGGATGGTGGTCTGGGCGCCTGAGCCACAGCACGGCCCTGGGGAGGGGCCAGGGGAGGCCACCTAGGCCTCTGGTTCTGCTTCCTAGACACCGAGTCCCCCACAGGCCGTGCCCAGGCTGGCTCCCACCTCCTTCCTGTCTGGGTAATGGGAGGCCAGGACAGCACCCAGGCCACTCCCCAATTCATCTGCAGGCCCACAATAGCTGGCTCACATTCCCAGGCCACTTAAAATGCCAGAGGCTAAACATTAGCCGCCCAGCCTTTTGTCCTGCGGCCCTGTGTGTGGCCCCGAGGGAGCACACCCACTGTGCCCGGCAGCTGTCACCTCCCTTGCAATTAAAGCAGTTGGACAGCGGCACCTTCCAGCAGACCCACTCTGAAGCGAGGGGCAGATTGGGGAGCTCTTCTGAGAGCTTTGGGTCTGTCATCCCAGGGTATAAAGCATAAGCAGGGCTCTGAAAACCCTTGTCACGGGGCTTTGTTATGGAAATCCTCATGGACTCTGGCCAGTCCTGGAATGGTTTTTAACTGGTTGATGTGCTTTGTTCAAAACACTTGCAGTGGAAGATTTCGTTTGAGGAGGGGGCAGACTCGGGGGTAGGCCTGGCGGGCATAACGGCCACAGGAGGATGCCCACCTCATGCCTGGAGATGTCCATGAGCACCGTGAAGCTGGCTGTGTGGCTGCACTGGCACGTGATGTGCATCCAGTTTCTGGACAGGAGCTCGCATTCCCGGGCAGACCACCCTCCGGTCCCACTGATGCTGTGAATAGAAGAGAGAAGGGGCGGGGGTGAGATGGTTCCCTCCACCCATGAGCCTGTCGGGGGCAGCCTCTGCCCAGCCCTACGGGCTCACGGGCCACGCTGGCCAAACCAAACAGCAGGTACTGTGCATGATGAAAGCCCCGCATCCTCGCAGGCTGCTCACCACCATGTTCCTCACCAGTCCCCTGCACTGAAAATAAGAGATACCCGTGGCCAGGTGTGGTGGCTCATGTCTGTAAACCCAGTACTTTGGGAAGCCAAGGTGGATGGATCATGAGGGAAGGAGTTCGAGACCAATCTGGCCAACATAGTGAAACCCCATCTCTACTAAAAATACAAAAAATCAGCTGGGTGTGGTAGTGTGCACCGGTAATCCCAGCTACTCGGGAGGCTGAGGCAGCAGAATCACATGAACGCAGGAGGCAGAGGTTGCAGTGAGCTGAGATCACACCATTGCACTCCAGTCCGGGCGGCAGTGCAAGACTGTGTCTCAAAAAGAAAAATAAATAAAAGCCACCCAATGAAGGCAGGACCATGGGAAATCTCCCTTCCCTCCTGTGTCTTGTCAGGGCCTCCAAGGAGCAGCCTCTGAAGTTCAAGTTCTACGTTATCCTCTGGCAGCAGAACTCAAACGGGGCCGTCTCGTGTCCACCACACGCCCTGCTGCTGGAACCGCCCACTGGGGTTCACAGAGCTGCAATGCACTCCTGTCTCCTTCTGAGGACAGACGCTTTCACGAGAACATCTCGCCTTCCTCTGACACTTGCATCTTCAGATTGAACAATGCTTTATGGGAGCTGCCCAGAAGCCAGGGCCCCATGGGGACTTCCGCTTTCCTGATGGGAAGCCCCAGATAGCAAGTTGTTATGAGGTGTGTCTCAGCTTCAGACAGGGCCCTGCCCTCCCAGACCCTGGGAAAATCACACCACCTCTCAGATCCTTAGTTTGCTCACCTGTAAAATGGGACGTGAACACTAATATGTCTGCCATGAACTTTACAATCTGGGAACAGGTACAGCATAAAGCAGAGAGCAGGGCATTAGAGCCAGAGCTAACTGCCAGGGTGCAGATGAAGGCCCGGGACAGATGGCTGGCCCGACGTCCCTCGTGGTGAAAGGGGCTCCTTTGGTCTCCCCTTTATAAGCCAAGCGCCTATTGCATTCCAGGTGCTGTGCTGGTTGCTCACTAACTAGGACTTGGAAGGCACAGAAGCAGGAGAAGAAGGCTGGGCTGAACAGGCTCCTGGCATGAGCTCGCTCACCATGGCACAGCTCCCCGCACAGCCGCCACTCATGGCTCTCCACTCTGCCCAGAGGAACAGTGGTGGGGGGAGGGGGGAGTGTTCCCACTGCATGGACGCCCCCAGATACACAATATTTAGCCGATTTGAGCCTGGGGGTGCTCACGCTCTGACTCCCCAAGTCCTGCATGGTGTCTCCCCTTCCTGGCACTCCCTCCCAGTATGTGGAGACACATCGGGTCTCCCCACTAGCTTGTGCTCCCATCCTCCCACCACTCCCCAGTTCTAGTGTTTTCTTCTAAACAGAGACAGCAAAAGTGAAAACGAACCAGCAGAGTAGAAGCAAGCTCCTGGTAAAGGCAGAGCAACTCAAAGAAGTCCAGGCTTCACATAAACCCTGCGGCTAAAAAGGCAAAGTGAAGCACAACCACCACCGGCTCCCAGGAGAGGTGAGCCACGTGAGTCTGAACCCACTCTCATGTGTGGGTGAGAATCAGTCATTCTGCTTTTTCTAACTACAAAACACCTTTCCCTCACTGGAACACACGCTGAAACACAGACTCAGGCGCACCACCTCCCGCCTTCGCCACTCTGCTGGCTGGCTCTCTGATGCTGCTTCTGGTCTGTGCTGTGGCCAGATGTGGCCACTTGGGGGTAAAGCCAGTCCCCAAAGCTGGGCTGTGTCGGCCTCTTGGGCTAGACTAAAATCAGGGGCCCTTGTCTGGTATGGGGACTGCACACATAGCTGGGGGTTCCCACTGTCAGCAGAAGGGCTCCTGGGCCCAATCTCTGGGTCTGCCCTCCCATGTGTGAACAGGTCTCTGTCTTATCCAGCAGTGAACTGGCCAATACACTAGTGTGGCTGCTGCATCTCAGGAGTCCTGCAGGTGAGGAGCCCCTTCCTGGGTGTCAACCTTGAGGGATCTCTCTGTGCACCTCCATGTCTGCCTCTCCACATGTGGGTCTGCATGCACCTGTGTGTGTGCATCTGTGTGTATCTGCGCATGTGCATCTGTGGGTATGCACCTGTGCGTGTGCATCTGTGGGTGTGCGTGTGCACCTGTGTGTGCATGTGCGGGTGTGCATGTGTGTGCATCAGTGGGTGTGCATGTGCACCTGTGTGTGCATCTGTGGGTGTGCATGTGTGTGTGGGCCTGCATGTGTGTGAGCCTGCATGTGTTTACATGTCTGCGTTTCCATGTGTGGGTCTGTGTACATCTGTGTGTGGGCATCTGGGGGGCTCTGATGCTCCCACAGAAGCAGAGCAGGAGGCTGACTGCCCTACAAGGGGCTGGAAGGAAAGACAGACCACAAGGGACCATCCTCGTGGGACGCTCTGCCACTGATCCCCCGACCCTGCGGTGCTCCCTGCCTTGGCAAAGCCCTCACATGGGGATGTGGGACTCCCGGCGCTGCACTTATGCCAGGGAGTGGTTCCAGAACACGCAGACGGGCTTGGTTTGCTCCTCTGTCTCCAGCAGGGCAAACTCCACCAGGACGGGCCTCTCCAGGGGTCTTGGGAGCGAAGCCCCCTCACTGTACACCAGCATGCTCACCATTGGGGTATTAATGATGGGCTGGTGAGGCAGCCTGAGGTCAAGAAGCCAGAGCATGTGGACAGACACGATTAGGAAACGTTCACTGAAATCCCACACAAATGCCCTGAGGACATGCCACGGATGTGTTCTGGGGAGACAGAATCACACAAAGAGAGCTCAAAGCTGCAAGCCCCACAATGTCTTCATCCCCCTGCACAATGTGCAGGTTTTATCACTGACACAGCCCACAGGGAGATGTGTCATCTTCGGGTCAGAAATTCAAAAAGAAACAGAAGGCACAGGTGCGAAGACGTTACAGCCGAAACAGTTAACGGCAGACAAACAGGTGGTGGCTTAAATGTCCAAAGACAGCAGAATAATGGCAGCTCCCAGGGGTGAATCACCTGGTCACTGAGAACCACGTGATCACAAGGACCCCCCGAGTCAGGGAAGTGTCTGGGAAACTGCAGGAAAAGGAAGGGCAGAGGCTCGGGCTGCTCCCACCGAGGGGGACACAAAGCTGCTTCCCGACGTCCATCCTTTCCAGCCGGGATGGGCTGAGCAGCCCTAAAGCCCCGGAACCAGCAGTAGGCACCACCCACGACAGCATGGGGTCCCTCGGGGCACAAGATGGGGCATATGCTGGGGAGGGGGCATTTCTGGCAGAAGCACTGGGATAAGCCCAGGCAAAGGGTGTATGGTGCTCCAGGGGATGGCATCCAGTGGCAGACCCAGAACCTCCCTCCAAGGGACACCACAGGACAGTGGTCTCTGTCTCTGGGCCAGGGTCCCGGTGAAATGCTGCCGTGAAGACCTGTGCTTGATCAAGATCAGAATTTTGACTTGTGGAAGCCTAGGGGACCCCTGAAACAGACCCTCTCCATGTCCCCATGCCCAGGCCTTACCAAAGGCTTCGGCGGTCTGGGTCATAGAGCTCGGGCAGAAACTGCCCCAGGGTCTGGTACATGATGACCAGAGCAACGGCGAACTGGCCAGCATCATCAGGGTGTCGCCTCCGCCTGCTGATAGGAGCCTCCCTCTTGGTGCCCAGGCCAGGGCTCATGGTCTGCGGGGTGGTCCTCCAGCCAGCCGGCCTCCCCAGGGGGCCTTCTGCAACGTGAGCAGAGCGTGAGGACTCTGGCGGGAACACCTGCATTCTCCAAGGCCGAGGTCAGGGCCAGCAGGCATTTCTCACAAACCAACAGATGTTCCACTGAAAACAGTATGACAGGTCCTCAAAAAATCAAAAATAGGATTTACCGCATGGCCCAGCAAGCCCAATTCTGGTTCTACATCCAAAAGATTGATCGCAGGGACCCAGATGCTTGCACACCTACGTTCACAACAGCACCATTCACACAGGCCAAAAGGTGGACACGACCCAGGCATCCATCAACACGTGAGAGGATAAACACACGCGGTCCATCCACACAATGGAATATTACTCAGCCTTCAAAAGGAAGCAAAGTCTGACACCATGACATGGGTGAACCTAGAGGACATTACGCTCAGTGAAATAAGCCAATCACAAAAAAACAAATAATTGTGTGATTCCACCTATAGGAGTTCCCTAGAGGAGTCCAATTCAGAGAAAGCAAGCACGGTGGGCACTAGGGCTGGGGAGGGGTGTTGGTGTTTTGCGGGCTAGAGTTTCAGATCTGCAGGATGAAGAGTTCTGGAGGTGGACTGCTTCAACATGAATGTATCTGATATAGTCTGGATGTCTGGCCCCTCCAAATCTCACATTGAAATGTGATCAGCGTTAGACCTGCACATGGTCAGGGGTGTTGGGGGTCACAGGGGTGGATCCCCCATGAATGGCTTGGTACCTCCCATTGGTAATGAGCAAGTTCTCACTCTATTAGTTCCAGGGAGAGCTGGCTGCAGCGGGGGGCTAGTCAGTTTCAAACCTCATCCTCTCAGTTTCAGGCACAGCCCCATATCAGTCACCCCTCTTTTTAAGACATGAGATATACCTGACAAAATCACTTTAGTCACAAGGTTTCCAATTCTAAACGGTCCATTAAGGGGTTTACCTTTTCATGTCCTTTTTATTTTGGGATGTTTTTAGTGATTGTCATGGATCTGTGAAAAAGCACCTTAGGAAAATTCAAAACGTTTATACTGTTTTGTATCACCATCTCAACCCAGGACTGAGGATTTGTACATACACAGACGGCATTCTGGTTCGGGTTTTGTGGTTGCTTTTTTCAGGGAGGGGAAGGTGACTGTAAAATTTTTATTTCTATTTAAAGGCGGCCTTTCACTCCCCAACCCCCCACACAGGTTCTTTCTCTGTTGCACAGGCTGGGCTGTAGTGGCATGACCACAGCTCACTGCAGCCTCCATTTCCTGGGTTCAAGCAATCCTCCCACCTCAGCCTCCTGAGTAGGTGGGACTACAGCTGGGCACCACCATGCCCAGGTAATTGAAAAAGAACTTTTTTGGTAGAAATGGGGTATCCCTATGTTGCCCAGGCTGGTCTTGAATTTCTGAGCTCCAGCGATCCTCCCCATGTCAGCCTCCCAGTGTTAGGGTTACAGGTGTGAGCCATCGTACCCAGCTAGCAGCAGCTTTTCACTGCACACCGAAGACCAGTGTACACACAAATTTCAGTTCACATTATCAGTCACGTGGCTGAGTATCCCTCAGCTGAAATGCTTAGGAACATGTTGAATTTTTGTTTTTGAGACAAAGTCTCACTCTATAGCCCAGGCTGGTGCATCTCAATGCTGCAACCTCCGCCTCCTGGGCTCAAGCGATTCTCATACCTCCACCTCCTGAGTAGCTGGGATTACAGGTGCCTGCCACCACAGCTGGCTAGTTTTTGTATTTTTCAGTAGAGATGGGGTTTTACCATGTTGGCCAGGCTAGTCTCAAACTCCAGACCTCAGGTGATCCGCCCACCTCAGCCTCCCAAAGTGCTGGGATTACGGGCGTGAGCCACCGCGCCCAGCCTGGATTTTTTCAAGTATTCATACTTATGCTACAACGAGCACTTCCTTCCAGCGTCAGGTTGGTGCTCCAGAAGGTTCAGATTCTGAAGCAGTTCAGATCTCAGGATCAGGGTGCTCAACCTGTACCTAAGCGCTTGTTTGAAACAACCCGCGGCCACCAATAGGACCTGGCGCTGGCCAACACAGAACACCCCAGCCCTGGATCTTCAGTGCCCAGAACACGGCGTGTTCACCTTCCTGGGATGCTGCAGGGGGTCCCCACTCCCTGAACTCTGGGGGTGTCGAGGGCAGCAGCAGGTTTCTAAGAGCTTTTACCTTTTTCTTCAGGTGGTTTGAAGAAGTCAGCTGGGAAGGAGACGGAGGACTGCAGCTCCCTGGGGAACTCTTCCTGAATGGCGTCGAACCGTGGCACTGTGGCTCCCGTGAAGTTCAACTTGTCAAAGATGTCGACGGCAAGAACTGGGGGGATACTTCCTTTAATCAGACATAACCCCCACAGCTACCTTGAATCCTTGTTTTCTTTTTTTTTTTGAGATGGAGTTTAGCTCTTGTCACTCAGGCTGGAGTGCAATGGCGCGATCTCGGCTCACCGCAACCTCCGCCTCCTGGGTTCAGGCAATTCTCCTGCCTCAGCCTCCTGAGTAGCTGGGATTACAGGCACGCGCCACCATGCTTAGCTAATTTTTAAAATATTTTTAGTAGAGACGGGGTTTCACCATGTTGACCAGGATGATCTTGATCTCTTGACCTCATGATCCACCCACCTCGGCCTCCCAAAGTGCTGGGATTACAGGTGTGAGCCACCGTGCCCGGCCACTGTTTTCAAAATGACTACAACTGTTACACTGATTGGCTGGCCTTATTTATTTAATTTTTTTAATTAGTATTTTTTTGAGATGGAGTTTCACGCTGTCTCCCCGGCTGGAGTGCAGCAGCGTGATCTTGGCTAACTGCAACCTCTGCCTCCCAGCTTCAACCACTTCTCCTGTCTCAGCCTCCCGAGTACTGGGATTACACGTGTGCACCATCACGCCTGGCTGATTTTTTGTATTTTTGGTAGAGATGGCATTTCGCCATGTTGGCCAGGCTGGTCGCAAACTCCTGACCTCAAGTGATCCACCTGCCTCAGTCTCCCAAAGTGCTGGGATTACAGGCGTGAGCCACTGTGCCCGGCCTATTTATTTATATTTATATTTATATTTTGAGACCAGGTCTCACTCTCTCACCCAGGATGGAGTGCAGTGGTGCAATCTCAGCTCACTGTAGCCTCAATCTCCTGGGCTCAAACAATCCTCCCACCTCAGCCTCCTGAGTAGCTGGGAATACAAGAGAATGCCACCACACCTGGCTAATTTATTTATTTATTTAATAGAGAAGGGGTCTCACTACAGTTCCCAGGCTGGTCTCGAACTCCTGGGCTCAAGCAGTCTGCCCACCTTGGCCTCCCACACTGCCAAAATTACAGGGGTAAAGTACCATGCCTGGTTGACTGACCATCTTTAGAACAGAATCGATTTCCAGCTTCCTGCACCCCACGTGTACCTACACCTGTCTGCAGTGAGCCTGGAGGGAGGCAGAACCCTTGACACCCACCCTTCTAGAGCCTCACTCCTGAGGGTCTGGAGGACCAGCCGGCTGGACACCCAAGATCATGGCCCAACATCTCCCAAGCCTGGGACCTGGCCCCTGGGAGCAATGGGTGAGTCACTGCAGACTGTCTTCCAAAGACTCCATTCACAGATGAGGAAACAGGCCTAGCTGCTGATTTTTTTTTTTTGAAAGTTTCCTGTCACCCAGGCTGGAGTGCAGTTGCCCGATCTTGGCTCACCGCAACCTCTGCCTCCCAGGTTCAAGTGATTCTTGTGCCTCAGCCTCCAGCATAGCTAGGACTACAGGCATGCACCATGATGGCTGGTTACTTTTTCTATTTTTAGTAGAGATGGGGTTTCACTATGTTGGCCAGGCTGGGTCATAGGATTTACCACATGACCCAGCAAGCCCACTTCTGGCTCTACACCCAAAAGACTAAAAGCAAGGACCCAGATATTTGCACACCCACATTCACAACAGCACCATTCACACAGGCCAAAAGGTGGACGTGACCCAGGCATCCATCAACAGATGAGCTGACTCCTGAATTCACATGATCTGCCTGTCTTGGCCTCCCAGAATACTGGAGTTACAGGCATGAGACACTGTGCCCGACCCCTAAATTGTTTTTCTAAGAGTGTGGCTAAGCATGGCCGGGAGCCCACCTGCTACACCCATGGGCCCAGCTCCTGGGTAGAGCCCCGATGATCGTGGGGTTCCACCCCCCACGCAGCCAGCGCCTTACTCATGTTGGCGGTGACAATGACGAAGGGCCGCAGGTACGTCCGCCGCATGTTGCGTGCCACATTGCTGAAGTAGCCCTCGAGGTGCTGAAGCAGCTGTGCCGTGCCACCCTGGCTCCGCTGGATCTGCTCCCACGCTGTGCTGGTGGCTGAAGCCAGGAGGGCGCTGCCCGAGTAGATGACGCCCTGGTCAGACAGACAGCGCTCAGTGCTCCACCAGCGGAGAAAGGCCTGGCTCTCGGGACCAAGGGACACCAGCCCTGAAAGCCTTTGCTCATCTAGTGGGCTCATTCATTCATTCCGGCCCCGCACTTTAGACTGTGCGCTTTAACATGAGTTTACAATTTTTTTTTTTTTTTTTTTTGAGATGGAATCTCATTCTGTCGCCCAGGCTGGAATGCAGTGGTGTGATCTCGGCTCACTACAACCTCTGCCTCCTGGGTTCAAGCAATTCTCCTGCCTCAGCCTCCTAAGTATCTGGGATTACAGGCATGTGCCACCACACCTGGCTAATTTTTGTATTTTTAGTAGACACAGGCTTTCACCATGTTGTTCAGGCCGGTCTCAAACTCTCGACCTCAAGTGATCCACCTGCCTTGGCCTCCCAAAGTGCTGGGATTACAGACATGAGCCAACACACCCGGCTAGTTTTTGTGTTTTTAGTAAAGATGGGCTTTCACCATGTTTACCAGGCTGGTCTTGAACTCCTGACCTCAGGTTGGTCTACCCACCTCGGCCTCCCAAAGTGCTGGGATTACAGGCGTGAGCCACTGAGCCTGGCCTAGTTTCCAATTTTTTTTTTAAGTTTCCCATCTTAAGAGGAATAGATGGTATATTTTTATATAGCTCACAAAGTAAAAATCCAGAGAATTCAAGATGCTTCATATTTTTGGCCTTATTAGATTTATAAGCACTGTTTAAATGCTTGGAAGATCTGTTTGCTAGCCAAACTGAAATACGAAAAGAAAAATCAAATATCTGACATATGATTCCATTTAAAATACGTAAGGAAATTTGATGGTCTCAGTTTATAAATAGGATCAAACATTAATCAAAGTTGAATTCAAAGAGATAAGAAGTATTTTTTAATGTGTGATTTCCATACATCCCGAACCCCACCACATAAACTAGAGAGACTGTGGGTGATTCGCTGCCAGAGGCCCGAACTGTCAGAGTGAGCCCTGCCACAGGTTTTCTCCACATATACCCCAAGATGCTAAGGTGAAGACATGTGGAGACGTCCCTGGTTTTATCAGAACTCCTCCCAAACCCCACTGAGGCCACTGTGGACACACAGGCAGCTCCTCCAAGGGTGACCCTCTGCCTCTGTGCACCTCGGGGTCTCTGAATGACTGGGTGGAGGTGTGGGGCCATGTTCAGGGGTTTGGGGACCACACCCAAGGTAGAAACCAGAGCTGGGCACAGTGGCTTACACCTGTAATCCCAGAACTTTGGGAGGCTGAGGCAGGTGGATTACCTGAAATCAGGAGTTTGAGACCAGCCTGGCTAACATGGTGAAAACCTGTCTCTACTAAAAATACAAAAAATTAGCCAAGTATAGTGGTAGGTGCCTGTAATCCCAGCTACTGGAAAGGCAGAGGCAGGAGAATTGCTTGAACCCAGGAGGTGGAGGCTGCAGTAAGCTGAGATCACGCCACTGCACTGCAGCCTGGGCAATAGAGCAAGACCCCATCTCAAAAAAAAAAAAAAAAAAAACCGGGAGGGAACTTGTTTGTAGAGTCACACATGGAGAACAAATGCCACTGGCCCAACTCTCAGGCTGGGACTCAAATCCCAGCGAGAGGACCCTGCCTTGTCTCTGGGAGCCTTGTGCACACCTGAAGCTCTCATGGGGGGCCCTGCATGGACTGGAAGCCCTGTGTGGGGCCTGCATGGATGAGGAGGTCCCTGAGGGCTCCCTGTGGATGGGGTGAGGAATGGGGCATCCCCCACGGGCTCTGTGTGGACAGGCCCTCCTCTGGGGGTCCCGCATGGGTGAAGAGACCTGCCCAGAAGCCACAGGAAACTTCTGGAGCCTCCAAGAGCCGTTTCCAAACATCAGCTGTGTGAGTCTCTTAGCAGACATTGCTCAGGGGCTAACGACTTCGGCACACGGGGCGGGAGGGTGGAGATAGAGGCGTGGCCCTCTGAAAGCCCACTGCCCCTTAGGAGCTGTGCCTCTGGGCAAACCCCTCAGCTCTCTGTGCCTCCATTTCCTTACCTGTCAAATAGGTGGATGATATTACATCGTAGGCTGTGTGGAAGGGAGAGGGGGCTGATTCAGGTGAGCCACTTAGAACCTTTATTTATTTGTTTCTTTGAGACTGAGTCTCGCTCTGTTGCCCAGGCTGGAGTGCAGTAGCGTGATCTCAGCTCACTGCAACCTCCACCTCCCAGGTTCAAGTGATTCTCCTGCCTCAGTTTCCAGAGTATAGTTGAGACTATAGGCACACACCACCGTCAGGCTGGTCTCTAACTCCTGACCTCAGGTGATCCACCTGCCTCAGCCTCCCAAAGTGCTGGGATTACAGGCGTGCGCCCCTGCACCGGCTAGAACCTCTTAGAAGCCACTTAGACCACACTCTGGGCACTACTGAGATCACCCACGGGGCTGTGACCTGCGCGTTTCCTCCCAGAAAACTCCCTGGCCTTCGTCGTCAGTTTAGCTGGGCACCGCACCTGCCGGGGCTCACATTTGAGAAATGAGTGTTTGCCTCGGGGATTCTGGACACAACCATCTTCTACAAGCTGGGGTCAACGCTCCGCCCCATAGTGCCTGCCGGCCGGCATCCCTAAGTGTCCCCAAGCCGGGCCTGCAGCCACCCTCCTACCTCATGGAAGTCAGCGTCCTGTGTGGCCGCCAGGTCGAATCCCTGCTGACGGCTCTCGTGCTGCAGGACGCGGCCCAGCAGCTGGTAGGCCGTGCACACATCAGTGCCGGAGAGTGTGGCCGTGTGCCGCGTGGCATTGCGCAGTGCCCTCACCAGCCGCAGGGCCCCGGCACCGTCCACCTGCGTCTCGTTGCGGCTCAGCTTCTCATTCTGGAACAGGGAGGCAGTCACGAGGTGTGCAAACACTTGGCTGCTTTCAGTCCCTGCTGTTACTCAGAAACTCACTCCCGTCTGGTGCAAGTTTCCGTGTCAGAAAGGAAATTCCAAAATTCAAAAGCCTGGCCGGGCGTGGTGGCTCATGCCTGTAATCCCAGCACTTTGCGAGGCAGAGGTAGGTGGATCATTTGCGGTCAGGAGTTCAAGACCACCCTGGCCAACATGGTGAAACCCTGTCCCTACTAAAAACACAAAAAATTAGCCAGGCATGGTGGTGCGCACTTGTCCGTCCCAACTACTCGGGAGGCTGAGACAGGAGAACTGCTTCCATCTGGGAAGCGGAGGCTGCAGTGAGTTGCGACTGGGCCACTGCCCTCTAGCCTGGGAGACAGAGTGAGACTCTGTATCAAAACTTAAAAAAATCCAAAACCCCAAAATGAGCACTGCTGATAGTTCGAGCATGGAAAGGACGGGCTGGTGGGCTGCAAAGGACTCGAAGAGAGACAGCCAGTGGGAGACCCAGGAACAACCCCCGTGAGACAGGGCAGGATCAAAGGGCAAATGGGGTCAAACGCAGGGACCCTGTGTTCTCAGAACCAAAGACGCAGAGCCGGTGTTGGGGGAGAGTACACGTGGGGGTGCCCAGTTCAGGTGCCAACGCTCCCAAGTCACAGGAGCCCATGGGGCCATCGCTGCATCATCCCAGCTGTCCCAACACTCCCCAGCCCAGGAGCCTCGGCCCACACAAACTCCTGCATACACGAGCACACATGCGCCCCTGCTGAGCATGCATCCCTGAGGCGCCTCTACCACGGTCCTGAGGTCCACGAAGGAGACGATGGTGCAGTTGAAGAGCTCTGGGGGCAGCCAGCCCTTCTCCACATTGCAGTGTCGAACTGCATTTCCTGGGGAAGGAGAGCAGGTATGCAAAGCCTGAAACTCACATTGTCGATCCATGCTGGTGTATTTCCATCCCCAGTCTGAATGTACTCAAACCCAGAACATGGTATGGCGGTGAGAACCCCATGGGGGCCCGGAGGCACGGTGGTGCCTACAAAAGCCAGAGGCAGGGCCGGTGACTTCAGACGCTTAGGAGAGGCCCTATGTCGCAGCACGTTTCCTTAGCGACATCCAGACTCCCACCCTCAGGACACATGTGTCGGCCCCAGGGGTCTGCACCCCTCATGCCAGGGCCATGGCCAAAGCTGCTTTATCACTGACTGACAACCAGGCATTTCAGGCGCCCAGCAAACAGGAGCCAGCACTCCTGAGCAAGTGTGTGAGGAAGAAACCAGCGGCCGGGCGTGGTCGCTCTCGCTTGTAATCCCAGCACTTTGGGAGGCCAAGGTGGGTGGATCATGAGGTCAGGAGAACGAGATCAGCCTGGCCAATACGGTGAAACGCCGTTTCTACTAAAAAATACAAAAACTAGCTGGGCATGGTGGTGCGTGCCTGTAGTACCAGCTACTCAGAAGGCTGAGGCAGAAGAATTGCTGGAACCCAGGAGGTGGAGGTTGCAGTGAGCCAAGACTGCACCACTGCATTTCAGCCTGGGTGACAGAGTGAGACGCTGGCTCAAAAAAAAAAAAAAAGAAATCAGCAACACCATCTGCTGGGCAGCCATGATGCCATGCGCCAGGGATCCGCTGCAGCTGGGCCTTTCCTTGTGCTGCCTCACTGGACTCCCCAGGCGTCCCTCACAGCGCAGACATGGTCACTGTCCCCATTTCACAGGGGATACCTGATGCTACGGACAATGAAGCCATTTGTCCCAGTGCCCCAGGCTGAGTGGCAGAGCAGGGAATGGCCGGGTGTGACTGGCAGGCGTCCCTGTACACGCTGTGCCGTTCGTGTGTCTGTTACACCCTCTGCCTGCGCTGTGTATTTACTGGTAGGGAAAAGGCGATGTAATTTCTCCCAGTACTTGGCCTGCATGAGTCCCGACATCTCGACCGGCTCTCCCACAAGGACGTGTGCCTCGGTTCCCCACCCGTGGATGCCGCCGGCCACAGGGACTCACCAACGGACCCCTTGGGGCATGGCACTGCAGCCAGCTGCCCGAACTTGGTCTGCGGCCACCAAATGCCGGCCTCAAACGCTTTGGGACAGCCGTTGTAGATCACTGGGTTAGAGAGGAGAGAAGGCCACTCAGCAGGGCACGCTGTGCTGACGGCCACAAACGGGCCCTGCTGTCTGTGTGCGCCCCTTCCTGCAGGAGGCCCTGCTCCCACTAAGAACCAAACCCTAGCGTCTCCCCCACCCCCCATCCATGTCAGAGCTGGAGAGGGGGTGACCAGGCTCTGACCCATGCCCCTCACACAGAACCAGGTTTCTAGAAGGTCAAGAGGACATAGAACACGAAGGATCCCAGGATCCCCCCAAACACCCTGAGCGCACACACACACATGCATGCCAGCCTGGTGGCCTGTCCCTGCGCTGTCACCTGACGGGAGTCAAGGGGCAACTCGGGCCTTCGCAGCCGAGTGTGGTGACCTCGGCAAATGGGTTGTCATAGCGGTTGCACTGGCGGCCGATGACACCAGGCTTGCAGGCACACTGCCCAGTGGTCATGTCGCAAGCGCGGCTGTGGGAGCCGTGGAGGAAGCAGTCACAGGGTAGGCAGGCATCCTGGGCCGGGGGCTGGTAGTAATTCTCCTGCAAAATCCAGAGGCAGGGCCGGTGACTTCAGACGCCTGGGAGACGCCCTGTGTCACAGCATGTTTCCTCAGCAACGTCCAAACTCCCACCCTCAGGGCACGTGTATTGTTCCCAGCCATCTGCACCCCTCATGGCTACCCTCTGCCCACACCCCACACCCCACACCTAACGGGGGCTGCCTCCCAGGGCCCTACAAGGGAAGCTCTTCCCAGGACAGTGGTTCTCCCAGGAAGCATGACCTCCCTCCCTCACGTCTTAGCAAATCCCAACAGTGGGCACTTTCATATCTGTCCTAAAAAGAATCAGAGATCCAAATGGAGGCTTACGCATGGGGATGGCCCTTGGGTGTTTTTTTAATGTTATTTGGAAAAATCAGAGGCCAGGCACCGTGGCTCATGCCTGTCATCCCAGCATTTTGGGAGGCCAAGGCAGGTGGATCAAGAGGTCAAGAGATTAAGACCAGCCCAGCCAACATGGTGAAACCCCATCCCTACTAAAAATATAAAAATTAGCTGGGTGTGGTGGTGTGCGCCCGTGGTCCCAGCTACTCAGGAGGCTGAGGCAGAACTGCTCGGACCCGGGAGCTGCAGTGAGCTGAGATCACACCACTGTACTCCAGCCTGGTGACAGAGCAATATTCCATCTCAAAAAAAAGAAAATAAAATTAGAAGCTACCTGAACGTCTACCATTGAGCGGGCCAGGGTGACAATCAAGAGCTTGTGCTTTGGGTTCAGAAAGTCCTGGGTTCGTGCCTGACCCTTTTGTTTACCAGCTACACTGCCTGGGCCAGTCACTGGGCCTCCCCAGGCCCAAGTACCACCCCCTCCCCCCAGAAAATGGCGCAGGCTGTGTGACCTGGGCAGACTCGTGAGCAACATTCAGACAGTGTGTCAGGTGGGACTCCAGCTAGGTGTAAAATGACAGTGAGCGGCAGGCCCCAAAGAGATGCTAAAACGTTCACAACCACAGCTGGGAGGTGAGATGGGGTGACCGCCATCTTTGTTTCTTTCTTACATTTTGTATAACTATTTTATTTTATTTTTTGAGATGGGGTCTCACTCTGTTGCCTAGGCTGGAGCGCAGTAGTATCATCATGGTTCACTACACCCTCAACCTCCAGGGCTCAAGTGATCCTCCCACCTCAGCCTCCCAAGTAGCAGGGATCACAGGCATGCACCAGCACACCCAGCTAATGCTTTTATTTTTTGCAGAGATGGGGGGTCTATGTTGCCTAGGTTGGTCTTGAACTCCTGGGCTCAAGTGATCCTCCCGCCTCGGCCTCCAGAGCAGCTGAGATTACAGGCACGAGCCGCCACGCCCTGCCTATAACTTTGGATGAGAAAAAAAATCAT